CAAGAACTAGTGGCTAGCAAAGGGGGCTTGGAGGAGCCAGCTTGGAAAGAACCCTCAAGAGCTTCATGCTGCAAATGGTAGTAAACTTACGTGCTCTTTCCAGAAGCACACGGGGGATGCCAGATGTTGAAATGGATTCAAGGGACACTCCGGTACATACCTGGAAAGAAGATCCCTTGAGGGTTAATAAATGAGAAAATCACGAGTGTCAGGAATCTTTTTTAAGTAATTTGGGTCCAGGAGAGTGGTTGGGTCCAAGTTTCATACACTCAGGAGGCCGTCTGCATGTGACTGCTGGTTTTGACAGATGCTCCACCAGTTTTGTGCCACGATGGGTATTTCTAGAGGTGATTGATGGGTGCTGTGTGCTTCCTTTGCAGCTTTCTCCTTGACATGTTTCACGTGCAAAGACGCAACTTCCAACATACATTGTCTCAGTACAACCACGTGCGCTGACCATGAGAAGTACTGCCTCACAAGCTACTCGACCACCGGATACGGTAAGCGTGAAACTTCTCGTTGGCGACAAGATGTGGTTGAGGTCAGGCTGGCTGCAGAGCCTCCTCCCTCTGAGGTGTGGCGGAAGAATTAACAAGGATTACAGCACACAAGAGAGCAGATCTCGCAGCAAGTGGGAACTCAGCCCAGCCACTCTCTGTTGCAATATATCATAATATTACTACATTACTGATTAAACACGCTCGGGAAAGGGAGATGTTGGAAGAGAGAGTCTTTCTCTGCGCAAAGCCCTTGTCTCATCTCCAATCTCCTATATATGCTCATGAGCTGGTGGAGTTGCAAAGGGTCAGTAGTCTGGAAGGGACAATAGCAAAGACATGGGGACAAAGATGTCTTTCAAACTTGCACCATACAAATGCATTAGAACCTCAAATTCCTGTCCTAGGTTGCAGTCAGCTGGCCCTGAGGAGTCCTAAGGCCTGGAGATGCTGTCCATAGGTCACATATTTACAAATAACAATGCAGTGTGGTGAAGCCCAAGGGAAAAACAGCAGCATTGTGTACAGAACAGCGTATTCCCCAACGGATATTGCACAGCCAGTCTATAAAAATCATTCAAGATAAACAAAACCTGACTTTTCTTCCTGTTTTCTCTCTCTCCCGCTTCAGGCACTGACCAAAAGCAAAGTATTACCAAGAAGTGTTCTGCCTTTTGCCCAACACTTGACCTGAATATCGGCATAGCTGGCATCGCTACCAGCTGCTGTGAGACCTCCTTGTGCAACATCAGCGGTGCAAGCAGTGTGAAAACCAGCTACACTATGATAGGTCTGGGTGTCTTGGCCAGTCTCGCCTGCATCCTCCGGTTGGGTTTTTAAAGGGGCTGGGTGGGTAAAATTGCTGGTTTCCCTTGCATTGCAAGGGATCCAACTCAATTCTGTACAGCGCGGATACCGTCCTATTTCTCCTACCTGGCAGTTCACATCCCAGCAGCAGATATTTTTTGCTCTTTCTGTGCTCTGATGACGATGCGTGAGAGCACAGCCCTACCTCAAAATGCTATTTGGAAGAGAAATACATGATGTGGAGTCCTGCACGTGCTGAAAGGCAGCATATAGTCACCATCCCTCCTCCTACTGGCCTTTATAATTCCATGCATTATTTTCCCCTTCATTTTGTCCAGGCGATTTTCCCCTTTCTACTGTTTTCCGCCCTGTATCATTTTGCTCTGAGGTAGCTTTTAATATTACGGTTGTTAAACAGAAAGTGGACACAATAAAGTGTTATTTTATTCTATTGTGTGACCGTGTGGTGTGATACATCGAGTGTAGCAGCTGGATGCATCCATATTAGCAGCAACAAAAGCAGAAGTGTTAGTCTTCAAGTGGAATTGAAATAATGCCAAGATATATTTCAATTGCTTTGCATCCACTTCAGGAAGCCTCTCCCCTAGATTTTTTTCTTTTTCTTTCTTTTTCTTTTTTTTTTTTCTGCCTTGACGGAAATGTCATTTTTGTGACTGCATTTCACAGTAAACCTTTCACTTGCTTTCAATTTCTCTTCTGGATCATCTGGTAGAAAGGAAATGACTGTTGAGCTCTCCAATAGGCAAACAGAAGGGACAAGGTGGGACCTAACATGAAGTTTCCTTTAATTTAAGCTCTGTCAGAGGAAATTGCTTTATGAGCATTATGGATTATTGTGAAAGGGGAGAAAATTATCTCGCATGGTGCTTAAAGGAAAATCACCAGAAAAGACAAGAGGTTTGTACTATGTGTCTGCTGGAGTCTGGAAATTTCATCTTCATCTATAAGAAAACACTAACTTTGAAAAGAAATCTCTTAATGTTTCCTGGCCAAATTTCTTATCGGCGGGGATAAAAATTGAAGGAAGTCATTCCCCTGCAGCGACCTGTGTTGTAGATTATCTTAGATAGAAATGAGAGATTTGCTCACTCAAAGCCTTCCAAAGTGAATCACAGGAGGCTTTCTCCTGAGCTGAAGAAGCTCTTGACTAGGATTGACGAAGATCTCCCTGGGTAATTAGCTGGGTGCAGCTCACCTGGCCGGTTTTCTCTCTGTAGTCTCATTGCACAGGGAGAGCAGCTACAGACTTTGCTCACTCTGCTGAGTATTTGCCGAGAGCAGAGGAACAACGCTCTGCTGGCTCTTTATAACAGGTTTGCAAAGGAAATGTGGTCTCATTGCTCCAGCTCACCCCAACCTGCTCACATCCCTTCTTGCCCACCCTTCCTCCCAGCCACATCTGACCCCCAGCTGTGCACTCCCTGGCTGTTTTCTCTCCCAGTCTTCCTCGCTGGCTTCCTCATCTGGTTTTAGTCCGGGCCTTACTTCCAGCCTCCATATTCTTGCTAGAGCCTCAGCTCTTTTTTTTTCTCCTCAGTGCATATCCAAGGTTGGCCAAGGATACTCAGCCTTTAGCCATGAGGCTCTTGGTTGTCCCCACGGTTTCTATTGTACCCCCATCCCCCAGCTGAGTTGGATCCACTCTTCTGTCTAACCTGCTCTCTTCAGTTTTCTTATCCTCCTGCACACACATTTGAACACCTTGAGGGAGCCAGGAACTGTTCTGTGGCCTTCGATGGCCATACTCTGCCTCACACCCAGGTCATAATGTGGTAACAACCGAACTATTTGAAGCAAACTTCATCCTGTGCCATCCACAGGTTTAGGATTTCTTAGGGACAATGCTGTTGGCACAAGCAAAGGTCAAGCTGGGGCTAGTGCTGCCCCAAGACTTATCCTGCTGAGCTTGTGTATTCACATCTGAGTTTGGCATTCAGGTTTAAAATAAAGTCATGTCTTGTGCTGGGTGAGCTTGGCAGGCATTTCCATTTTTTGAGTTGGGGGGAATCTGGCACATGAAGAAAGGTATAAATATATTGGGCAAAGAGGGCGAAGGCACATGGTAGAGTCTGCTTCTGCTGTGGAGGGTTTCACACGTGTGGACCAAAGACTGACCCACATTGCAAGATACATAAAAGGGTCCTTATCTGGATAAGGGAGCAGAAATTGCACTGAGGCACAGAAGGTCCTAAAACTATGAACCCTCCCTCTTGGCAATAGGTGTTGTGTAAGCGACTCCTCTCTGCCAGCCTCCCTGAGAAATCCTCATGTGACATCTCCTGTAAAGATGCTGCTGCCTAATTCCACATCTCTCCACCTAGGGTTTCTTATTTGTTGGCTACCATGGTTGCATATTCCTTGGATGAGAGTGGTGAGCTGCCCTGCAGAGACATCTGGGATGCCTGGAGGGCTCTCAGGAAGGAGTGTCTCACTCAAATAGTTGGGATTGCTCCTGGGAGGTAGCTGGCTCTCTCTGCCAGCATTATCTAAGAGCTCAGTTTCCAGTGCTCTGAGTCATTCCTCCAGAACCAGAATCAGCCAAGGGGGCCTTGCCCTGCCCAAATTAGGCAACAGGAGGAGGTGTTTTAGCTTTGGCCCTTCTTTTTCCTCACTCACGGCTCTATCACCACTGATTTTGAAGGATCTATGCTGCCTTCTGCTGTCCTCTAACAGTTTGGCTGTCTTTTCCAGCACAACAGGAAATTTATTCCCTTTCTGTCTGTTTATTCACCCAGATCTGACTAACAACCAGTTAATCAATGACAAAACAAGAGACAAGATGGATGCAAAAGATCAAAGCAAGATTTTCACTAGGTCTATAATGCTCCCAGAAGTTGTGGAAAGAGACAAAAGCACCAGTTTTTCAAAATTATCTGCTGCTCTCTTGTTATGTACCCAACTCATGGCTCGATTTTGAGGTCCATTTTAATTTTCCTGAATGAGTAGAATCATAGAATGCTTTATGTTGGAAGGGACTTTTCAAGGTCATCTAGTCCAACACTATTGCAATAAGCAGGGACATCTTCATCTAGATCAGGTTGTTCAGAGACCTGTCCAACCTGACCTCCAATGTTTCCAGGGATGGGTCATCTATCACCTCTCTGGGCAACCTGGTCCAGTGTTTCACCACCCTCATTGTAAAAAATTTCTTCCTTGTATCCAGTCTAAATCTACATTCTTTTAGATTAAAGTCATTTTCCTTTGTCCTATTGCAACAGACCCTACTAAAATGACTGTCCCCATCTTTATTATAGTCTCCCTTTAAGTATAGAAAATCTGCAAGAGGGTCTCCCTGGAGCCTTCTCTTCTCCAGGGTGAACAGTCCCAATTTTCTCACCCTTTCTTCATAGCAAAGGAGCCTCCTGATCATCTTTGTGGCTCCTCTGCACCTGCTCCAACAGGTCCATGTCTATCTTGTGCTGAGGACCCCAGAGATGGACGCAGAACTGCAGGTGAGGTCTCATGAGAGCAGAACAGACTGGCAGAATCCCCTCCCTCAGCCTTCTGGCCACACTTCTCTTGATGCAGACCAGGATACAGTTGGCCTCCTGTGCCATGACCTCACATTGCCAGCTCACGTCCAGCTTTTCATCCACCAATGAAGACGGTGAAAATGCGATGTTGCTCTAAAGAGGTGACTCAAGCTTCCTTGCAGTGTTTTTTGCAGCCTTCCTCAACCTTACTTCTCACTTGGCATCCCTGGCTGGCTTGCTCCAGTCCCTCCTCCAGGCTGAAGGCTGTAATGCTGGGCAGCAGAAGACACCCTCCACACGCTGACTGTTCTAAGTGTTGCCTCTGACTGCACTGAGTTTCGTAATCTGTCCTCTTGGGAAAGAAGGAATCACTGTGACCCAGTCACTGTGCTGCAAAATTATTGCTCTCCAGATGCTGAGAAGAGGGCATGCTCCAGCACTGCAGTACTCTTAGGCACTAAAGAAGACCTTAATGTCCTGGGAAGAGCTCCTAGGTAACTTTTTGACATAAAAGAGACTGTTTCTTATTTAGATTTCTCTCCTTAGTACATTTTTGTTGGCAGTGCTGGGGATGTCTCAGCCTCATGGGTCTCATTTGAAGCTGACTTGCACTGAGGCAACGTCCTATTGCATGAAGGATCATGTAGGCACAAACGGATGTTGATGAAGTCAGTACGAGGGGGCCATATGGCAATAGAGCATTCATGGAGGAAGGGAAAAGGAACATACATAACAGAAGTCCATGAGATAATTAATAGGAAGAGGACACACCCATTAATTGTGAAGAACAACCTGTTTATAACACACTTGGGCAGTAATCTGAATTGCCCTCTGCGATGCAGAAGGCTCGATTTGATCATCACCAGCATATTCCCCTGCTGACCTCACACAACCTCCACAAACAAGAGCGGGGATGTCTATTTTGACATCAGGCTTGAACAACTCTGGAATTCACCACCTGATGATGTTATGGCAGGAGTGGTTTAGGAGAGCAGGAAAAAGTATCAGAAACTCACATGGATAGGGAAATCATCCAGAGTTGGAATGATTCATATTAGAAATCAACAAAAATAATTTACCCTTGGCTACTTTTAGGGAACTGCCTGTTAAGTTATTCCACAATTGCCAGAAAAAGGGGGATTTGGCTTTTTTTTTTTTCTTTTACACATTCTGCTGGTCCAGGATTAATCTCATTTTGCAAGAAGCTCTATTGAGGTGGCATCCTGAGCTCTTACAATATGCATTTTGCATTAGGGTCTGTTTCCCAGAATGTCAGAAACAGAGTTTAAAAAATTCAGAGGAGAGCAACGCAGAGGAATAGAAGAAAGGGGATTGATTTAAGAGGAGAGATTGAAAAAGAGACAGTTTGAGAGATAGCTTTTTTAAAAGCAGAGCAGTAATTCCAAGAAGCCAATTTGTGGCATTGTAGATGGAGTCTGCTTTCCAGAAACTTTTGGGTGTAGAGAAAAGCAGACCCTCTACAGGATCCCTGAAACAGAAGCAGAACTTCATTAAATAAAAAATGTATCATAAGGTATTTGAGAATTGCAATCAAGAGAGGGGCAGTATTAACTCAACTTATGGAAAATTGAGGAAGAAATGAAGATTGACATGAAAATTTGAGGGAAATCTATTTGACTAATTCTGTTTGACTAACCATTAGCTAATTTCCTTTAGTGTAAAATACACTGATTTTACTGGAGATAAACCAGCGTAGGCCAGTGGAGAGTCTGAGCGTCTGGAATTAAGGAATAATTAAAGAAAATTAACGGTATGAACCCAGGTACATAATGCACTGATTATCCAAAGGGATTAGAAAAACGCACTGCTAGGACTATCTCCCCCTGCCTTCGGGCTCTGCTATTTCATCAGGGCAGGTTCTCCTTCTGCTAGGAGGAAGGAAAGGAGGGAACTCAGAGGAGAGAGAGCAGATCCTCATTTCTCATCACTCATAAGACTGAAAGAGCAAGAAATGAGTTGCTAAAAGGGCTTTTCCCCAGGGTGCCAGCCTGTTCCATGGGCTCCAGCGTGGAGAACTCCCACACGCACATTACACACCCTTGGATTGATTTCACGTCCACCCGCAAGCCATCTGGAACCAGTAAAACTGCTGTCACCCAAAAGGTATATAATCTGCCCTCCAAATATCTTCCCAGTCCAGCAGATCTGGTGGAGATGAAGACTACCCTTGTCACCTTGTTGGCTGCTGTCCTGTGTGTGGAGCAAGGTGAGCCTCTTGTGCTGCTACTATAAGGTTTATAGAGAAGATGGTTTCATGTGGCAAAAATTTAGAGGGCTGTCATCAACTCTGCAGGATCACAGTGCTGCAGCCATGCTGCCAAAAACTTCCTTTTTTGCACCTTGGTTAACTACGTGCTGCAGAAATAAGGTCCTGATAAACTAATTCTTCTTTCTGTCGGTGGTACTGAGTGATAAAGCTCCTCTGGATGCCAGGTTGTATCCATGCAATGGGATTGTCCCGAATCATGCAAGCTGGAAGAGCCAGAAATAATAAATGTGGTTTTTTTAAATTCTATATCGATTTTTGAGAATTTACAGACTTTATTGCTGCTTCCTCCATTGTAGTGAGCCATGTGGTTTGCCGTGTGACTTGCTCCCTAGGAAATGTGAGAAATTCTTACAGATTAAATCAGAGGCAGAGGTAAAAGAGCCTTTCTGTGCATCCTTCTCCCAAAAGGAAGTCTGAGGTGCTCTGAATGTGTGTCCTCCTTCTGGGGCTGATACGCACGTGTTGCTACATCGCTACTCGCACATCAGAATAATGACCAGATTGCCAATATTCCCCCCACGCCTGATGGTTTCCCAGAAACCATGATACATATCTAGCAGGGGTTGAGAAAGAGGCATCTAATTAATTCTTGCTTTTTGATATATCACACACACCCCCCCTACTCCTACTTTTTTTTTTTGGACAGATGGTTCTGCAGTATGGCTGGGAGATTGGAAGCTTAGGCAAGTTTTGGGGTGAGGAAAGGGGTATTCAGCTCTAAAAAACAGAAAGGGGGTTTGTGCCCATAATTCTTGAGTGCAGTGACACAATAAGGACAAGAGCAAGTAATTATCAAAGACAACATCCTCAGTGCTACCTGGGATGAAGAGCAAAGCTGGCAGAGATGCAAGACTCTGGCAGCACACCTTCATGGTGGGATAGCTTATTGGTGTAGTAGGCTCATGACATTTTATGTTGGCATCAGCCTTCAAATGGACTTAAGGGCCGTCTCACATAGCACATTTCTGTAGCCCAGTCTAGACTGGAGCAAGCTAGTTATTCTACTTTCAAGATTTTTGTACTCAAGAGTGAGACATTATAGCTTTCTGGCCTACTAGTGGACAAAGGAAAACTTGAAGATAACTGTATTTGATATTTCTCATGTATCTGGGGCCCCATTCAAGACCTTAATAAGCAACTTTCTATCAAAACTGTTAACCTCTCATCCCTCCAAAAAGCATCTGTTGCCATTGGCAGCCAAGAGCTCACTGGTAGAGATACATTATGTCCAGAATAAACATTAAAACGTCATGATCCTTTTCCCTGCTCTAATGCTTCAGTAAACAGCTCAATGCTTCCAACCTTTTCTACAAGGTCATATTTTCAAGATCTCTGACCATTTCTCCTCTGGTCTCTCTCCAAACGCTTTGCATATTTTTTGAAGTGCTGCATGCAGATTTGGTTGTCAGTGTTCCAGCTAAGGCCTTGCCAGAGTGGAAAGGCCACTTTGCATATCTTGCACATGACTTTGCTGCCTGTGTTCCCTTGAGTGACGTTTGTTTCCATTGCTGTAGTATGACATAGTCGACTCTGGCTATTTACACTGCAGTCCTTAATTATAACTCAACCAGTTGTTCCTTACCCTACATTTAAGTGACTAATATTTATCTTAGTGAAATATATTTCTCTTTATTGGACTGCATCCATTTTTTTTCACTCTTTTATTACATCCATCTGTCAACACCTCTTAGAACTCTGCTTACAGTATGTTTTCAGCTATTTTGTCCTTGGCTGTATCTGAAAATGTAATATGCATCTTCTACCCCATCCGTACTGCCACTGATGATGACACTCAATAGAGCTGAGCCTACAGCAGAGCTTTGGAGAACCTTATGGGGTGCATTGCTTCAATTAGTTTGAAAAATAACCATTGCAAGTTACCTTGTGAAGGTGTTTTCATGCCTTGCTTTGCACCCATTCTGTTGCATTTCCACTAGCTTGTGGTTGCTGGGCTTGTTCACAACAACATCATTCAAGATTGGGCTAAAAAATCTGGTAAACACCTATTGCATCTCCTCTAGCTTGCACATGAAGATTCAACCTTTTTAGTGATGAATGGAGCAAAAAAGCTTATGTGTTATCGCCCTGTCAGCATCAATAGTTCAAAGTTTTTCCTCCCCTTCCATGAGGAACTTCTCATTTAATGGTCTCTCTGACCTGCATTGCCCTTCCACTTTCTTACTGCCAACTTCTTATCGGACAAAACTGCACTCACAGGAACGTGTGCTCTAATTGTCTTCTGACCTTTCCAGACAGACCTCGCAAGTATCAGGATTTTAGCAACATTTTGTGCTCTGTTTGGCTTCCCTTTCTAAAAGCCTCCATGTTTTTAAAGTAACTCAGTCACTCTTCTACACACGAAAACATGTAATTCAGGTGATTTTGTAAGCTCAGAACCCAACCATCACACCAAAATCTATAAATCAATGAATCTGCCTAACTGAGGAGCAGACACTTTGGTTTGATTCTACAATCAGACTGTGGTTTTGCTTTTCTTCCTTTTTCTCATTACTTTACAGAGTAAAGAGGTGTCTCCCACCGCCCTCCGGATTTGAGGTCAGGTGTGTACATTCTCAATGGATAAGAGCTTTCCTTTCCTTCCCTTCCTGCTCCTCACTCTCTGTACCTGTATTGCAGATGTGCAAATTATCCCACCAAATCTGTGCTTACCAATTAAACCATGCTTGTGGTTAAGACTTCCCGTTTGTTCTCCGTCTTACGGTAGCATGCAGAAGTTCAACAGAGCATCTGACTACTCTCACCAGACTTCCCAGGACTGAGGTTAGGCCAGTTCAGTCAGTGGCATTCAACCACAAGAAAGTATTCGTGACAGTAGTCTCCAAGACAGACAAAAGAGAAGTAGGACACTGGGCATTGTCCACCTCCTCAAAATGCTCCAGGCATCCTCAATTTCTCCCTGGCAAGCCAGGAATAGGCTCGCCCAGGAGAAGCGACTGAGCAGTAATTGGCAATTCACATGGCAGATCTCTCAGGACAGAGCAGATATGGCTCAGAAATAATCTCCATCATAAAAGCCCCCAAATCCCTGAATTGCACTCACATCTACTGCTGCCAGATGTTGCAAACAGATCGATAACACTTCGCAGTCTGAGACACGTGAGACAGAGATGGATTTAACGTTGCTGCCACGGGTCAAGGGATAAAGAAAGTCACTGGTCATTCACTCACAAGCATTCATCAGGCTACAACTAGGATTGTAGTTATTGCAGCTCTTAAACCATGCAATGTGCTTTCTCCTTTTTTTTTTCTTTGTCCCTAGCTCACCCACTTATGTGCTATGTGTGTGAAGAACAGGAGTCCAACGACGACTGTATGACCATTTCCATGTGTGCAGAGAAAGACAATTACTGCCTGACCGTCCGGAACACTGTTGGAACAAGTACGTTTCTGAACAACACCTTGTGTGTGCTGTAGAAAAGTAGCCCCAGCAACAGGCTTCCTTCTCAGTCAGGGCCACAGCTGGCAACAGTAGCCCCTGATTACCAGTTATTAGGAAACACCAACCTCCTTGCTCGCTATTGTGGTGTCAATACAGACTTGATATCATTACCAGGAGTTGGGGAAATGCTGAAGATAGACACAGAGCACCAGAGAGTGAACTCAAGCCTGGAGCTGTGTGCATTACTTCATGGTTAGATGTCCCCTCAGCTTTCTGCTGACTCTCCTGCTAGCTCTTACTATGGCAATATTCACTCTCAGGGTTGTCATAAAAAATGTTTGGTCAAAACTGCACCATGGCTGACTCTCTTTGCCATACAAAATGCTTCAAGTCTGTCCTTGGGGATCTGAACCCGCAAATGCCTCCAACTGCTCGCAGACCCAATCTCAGGTCATACTATACATTTCCCCCGCTTTTATGCTGTAGGAAAATCATCCTGTTGGGCAGAGATCCAGCCCAAGAATCGCATCAGGCAGCTTGAACTGAAATCCACCCTTATAGGCTAATTTTACTTCAGGGACACACGAGCCCACAGAAGACTAGAGTCATGTTTCATCAGTGGCCAGACTGTTGCTAGTCCTGAGCAGAGGACATATATGTCTTGGGGACTAGTACCTGGCCTTCTTTTATTTACCAATCATAGAGTCTTTTAGATTGGAAAAGACCTTTAAGATTATCAAGTCCAACCATTAACCTAACAATGCCAGATCCACCACTAAATCATGTCTCCAAGGGCCACATTCACACATCTTTTGAATACCTCCAGGGATGGTGACTCAACCAATGCAGATTTAGCCGTGGAAACATTCTAACAATGATTCTTACATTCTACTCTTTCTTTCTCCCCATCCCTTTCTCTTCTGCATTAGAGCCCAACAAGCTTAAGTATGTCATCTCTAAGATGTGTTCTCCAACGTGTCCAGACAGAAGTCATCAAGAAAACCAAACCTATCAGAGCATTTATTGCTGTGAGAAGGCATTATGCAATGTGAATGGAGTCAGCAGTAAGCAAAGCAGCTATGGAGTAATGTTGCTGGGCGTCCTAGCCAGTATCACTTACACCTCTGCACATGGACTGTGATGGGAAAAGCTCTCCGTGATGATATTGTTGGCTGAAATAAAAGTGTGTTGCTCTGAGATGCTCTCAAAGCGTTGTGCTTTGTGGCTAAGATTCCCCTGAGATTTTAAGAGAGTTTGAATAAGTTAGGTGCTGAACTCCCATTGATTTCCTAAGCCTACTTGAATCCGAAGCATTCCCAGACATTCAAGTCACCTAAGAAAATACTTAAAAGCCAGCCCTTTTGACATGTTCAGGCATCAAATCATTACAGCTCTGAAGAGACCCTTGAAGACGTATTTTTATGTCTTTGAATTTCAAAGCACTGCGAGGAATAACAACTCACCCTGCCTGAAACACAAGCAATACCTCAGTAGTTCTGTCAGCACAGAGAGGATGTTCAGTCTCTTCTGCTCACAGTTAAGTTGGTTATCACAAATCAGACAAGCAGTTCATAAAGTTCTAAGTAGAGGGAAAGCTCATTTCTGGCAATATTTTGGACATGTCTCCAGCTTCAGTGCAGAACTGGCTTCTCTGGCTCTTTGCTCTTGTAGGGCTACCACATTTTGAAATGAGCATCCTCACCCAGAGAAACTGTGGAATCTCCGTCCTTGGAAGTCTTCAAGGCCAGGTGGACAGGGCTTTGAGCAACATGGTCTAGTGGAAGATGTCCGTGCCCATGGCAGGGAGGCTGGAACTAGATGATCTTGAAGGTCCCTTCCAACCCAAATCATTTTGTGATTCTAGCGCTCTATTATTTATCATCCAGCTCTGATTAGTTGGCTGAGCTTGAGGAAAAGGCAGAGAGGAGCAAACATGGCTGGGAGAGGAAAGGCAGTCGCAGGGTACCAGTGGGGTGATGGGAGGGAGAAGGGAAGCAAGGAGAGGCAGGATGCTGAGCACCACACTGAGAATTGCTCACGTACTGCCTCCTCATGGACCTGGTCCAGCTGGAAAAGAAGATGTCCCCATATCTATTCCCCTTTCTTTTTTTTTAACAAGGCCAAACCAACCTGCCAGCTCTTCCCAACCCCAGTCATTTAGAGATTGTGAGACTTTTTCTACAAAACCATATTCCTGGCATGAAAAACGATTGATTGTGCTGGGCTTTGTTTGGTTTTGCACTCCAGGCTCTCTCCTCCCTCCTCTCCCTGAGAAATCTGCAGCTGAGGGGAGACAGAAAAGCTCTGTAGGAGGCCTGGGGATGTCTACAGAGAAGAAGAAGGGCAGGCAGCCAGAGACTAACACAAACATACCAGAGTTTCTTGGTCATAGCCCCTGTTGCAAGCTCAGTATTCTGGGAAAAGCAAAAAAAAAAACAAAACAAACAACAAAAAAGAAAAAGAAAAAAAAGAAGAGTTGGCAGCATCACAAGCTCAGCTGTGTTCTGGGGTAATCCAAACAATTCAATGGGTTGTTTGGGTTTTTGGTTTTTGTGGGGTTGTTTTGGATGAGATGTTGTATTTGACAGCTAAATGAGATCTTCAGTTTGTTTGAAGCATCGCCTTGAAAGTCTGCTGTGTTTTGGTCACACAGGTGGAAGGAGATACTTTTGAGATGTTTCACGCTGCCTGGATTACAAAGCAGTCGGTTTTCCACGAGGACAATCAGCCAGAGATGCCCCATCAACTTCATATTTTGTACTGTGAGCTCTGAAGCCCAGTGTCTGGTTTTAAACATTTTGTTTAATAGACAGGGGGAAAACAAAGCAAATGAAGGAGGTGACACCACGGTGGTGGGCAGGGACAAGAAGACAGACACCCATTGATCTGAGCGTACTGGTGAGCTGTGCCTGAGGATGACAGATGTCAAAAGGGCAAAATAAGAACTTGCCAGCAGAACGTGCTGTTAATTTTCTCTCACCAAAGACAACCACAAAAGGGAAGGAAATCTACGATGGAAAGGGGGAAGGGAAAGACTTTTTAAACCAAAAAGAAGGCAGGCAGGCACGTCCACCTGCTAAAGGCAGGGGATGGCACCACTGGCAGGGGCTGTGGAGGCTGTGCTGCTTCCCAATCCCATGAACATGTGCTCCATGAATACCCCACACAGAGGGAAGACATTTCTTCACTGCAACACATCGAGTGCTTTCCAAAAACTCCAGGAAAGTTGAGTTCTGGGCCAAAGCCATTAGTGGCTTTACCATCAAGCAAGTTGGTACAGGAAAGGGGAAGCAGAAGGAGCAATATATATCTTGACTAGTTTCCCTGCATGTGAAAAAGCAAAGACCTGGTGGGTGAGACCAGCTGGCAGGAACGGAATGAGTCAGAAGTCGAGTTAGTTCTGGGGACTTTCTCTCACTGACAGATCTCTGTAGGCATTGTGCCCCCTTGTAGGTCCTTATTGCCTTCCCAGCTCTTCTCCTTCTCTTCACCACAGCAGTTTAAGTGCTGCTTGCTGATAGTACCCAAATGGATGTTGCTTCCAAAAAGATAAAATGGACGGATGTGTTCCCTGCTCTCCTTGTCTACAAATTTAGAGGAAGGCTTTCTTTTTGTTTTTGAAATTTCTGGATGCTAGAGCACTTGACCATACCAGGATTAAGCTGATTAATCCTTTTGTTTGCATTGCCAGTCATACCAACACCCACCTAGTTGATGGATCTAAAGCCCACAGTTGTGAGTGTGGAGCTAAAAGTCTCTGAAAAGTGAGTATGGGGATAGGATTTATGAGTGGACTTTGTCAGAGCCAATCCCCTGAGTGGGAAATCACTGAAATGCTTTCAAATAAAGAAGGAAGAAGGATATTTTGAAGCTATCTTAGCTGAGGGTGAGAAATGGGGTACTGCCTAATGACAAGGTTGGCAACTCCCTTTCCACACTGGTACCTGCCTTCTCTAGGCTGGAGGAAGGTGCTGGTAGATGATCAGGTCTCCTGTGGCCCAGGAGTTTAGGCACAGACAGCCAAGTCTCCTCTTCCGCCACAAGAAGAATCAGTCACATTTGCCTTTTAAAATAAAGATGCAGCGTGGCATTTGGTTGGTCATGCTCTCCGCAATTAGCTGCACTTGCTGGGAGAAGACATCCAAGTCATGCTTGGAGATTCTACTTCGGTGTAGAATTTCACAACAACCTCAAGTTGCACGCCCAGGGTGAAGAGATGTGGTTTTTTTGCTTCTAGCCATCAGTATGTGCAGACTAAAAGGGAAGGCAGGTGGGGAGACACTAACCACATCTAACATGAGACTAACAGAGCAGTTTTGCTGCTGCAGATGTTCGTGAGATCAAGACGGATTAGCCAAGTTGCACATCAAAAGCAAGAACATTTAAATGAAGCAGGGCCCAGGTCTAAGCAAATAAAAGGTGGTGTTTTCAATATGAATATGCACACCAGCGAGGGCGATCTGACAAACTAAGTGGTGTCCAGACACAGAGGCACTGGGAAAAGTAATCTTGGGCATCCATCGCAGCTACCAAACCCAGCCTGTTTCACCTGCTCCCATTTCTTCACAGTAAAGAAATTTGGGTGTTTCATAAGACTAGATATGACCAAATGCGACATGTGTCATTATAAAGAGGATGGAAGGGTCTTTGGGGCCATACAGAACAGCCACCCCAGAGCCCAGTCTTGGAACCCACCCCCCTGAAATAAATCATCAGATGAATTGCAACTGTGTAGGGGCTCTCAAGGAGATGGGGACGAACAGCAAGAGCTTTGTGACAGATGGGTGTTATTCCCACCTGTGACAAAATGGTAAAATCTATAGTTAGGGCAAAAGTGGTACCTGTCACATAGCTCAGTGCTAATGAAGCTTTTGGCACTGTATCACATGAGAGTCTCATCAACAAAACTAAGAGAACACAGTCTAGGTAAAATCATGAGCAAATAAATGTCAACAGTGTGCTGTCAAACTGGAATGATCGATTAAACAGGGTCCTCTGTCGCTTGCCTTGGCTCTGGTATGATGCAATGTTTTAATTATCAGTTTGAATTATGGATTAGAGAATAAATTGATTGAGCTTGCAGGTGACAGACTGAGAGAGTCTGCGAACAGGAGAATTTTGGGTGACTCCAATAAATCTAAGCGATAGTCTGAGAAAGAGGGTGTATTTTAGGAAGGACAAGCACAAAGCTCTACAGTTAGTGTGGACCTGTCATCTGCACAAATACAGGATGAGGAAATCTTCCCTGCAGCAATCTGTCAGAAAAAGAAGTTGCAGTGGGTGTTACAACAGATCACCAGTTTAACGTGTCAAACTTAGGGAAAAAGTTATGAAAAAGAAGACGGCCTCATTGGAACTCTGCAATCCATTGAAAAATCTTACACATTGCACTGGGAAGTGTAAACTGGTGCGTGATGGGGTGTGATATCCTTCCAGTCTCTTCTCCAAAGAGAAGGCCTAGGTGGCTCCACTTCTTGCTTTATGGTTCGACAGCAGCAAAGGAGCTTTCAGATAGGATCCGAAAAGTTTCCTGGCATCTAATACATAGTGAAGAGCTGAAGAACTGCCTCCAGCATCAGCAGCTGGAGCATCATTATCAAGATGCATCAAGTTATGATAGAAAAATACTGTCCTCAGCATCTCGTTGGTGTCTCCAGTGGAGCTGGAGAATAAACTCAGTTGCCTCTCCTGATTCTCTCCGTCGTTCCCACGCATCTGCTGTGGCTACTGGTCCTCTTCACTACAGCAGAACTGTGATGTCCAGGCTTGACTTTGCTTTATCACAGAATCATGGAATGGTCTGGGTTGGAAGGGACCTTCAAGATCATCCAGTTCCAACTGCCCTGCCATGGACAGGGACACCTTCCACTAGACCAGATTGCTCAAAGTCAAACACATAGCAATGTCTAACAGCAAAGGTGACCCAAAGATGCTCTCCCACTGACACCATGTGAGACCTTCACTCCAAATGATGTTCAACACCCAGAACACCTCCAGGGTTCCCAAGATTTCAAACAACAGTAATACTGAACCAGTGAGTAGAGAGACAGTTCTACATAATATGACTTAACGGTTTTAGAATCATAATCATAGAATCATAGAATTGTCAGGTTTGAAAGGCACCATCTAGTTCTAGCCCTC